TCATTAATCAATATTTTTGCTCTTTAAATAATTTATCGAAGTATGCTAATGTAAAGAAAAATACAATCACTTCAAGAAATCGTGCATTTTTACACTTCTTTCAGGAGAAAAAAACGTCAGTTTAGAGAAGGAAAAAAATGTAGCAAGAGACTGAAATAAAAGTAAGTAAATAAATAAATGAAAGGCTAACCTTTTAGTCCCTGCTATTAAAACCAGTTTGACACAAAGCAAACATCCATTTCTATAAATTGAATAAAGTGGGGTTGCACGGCTGGATAGATGTTTTTTAATTAAATAATCATGGAATAGGTGATCGAACTATCAACTTTTGAGATGTTAATAGATACTTCATCCACCGAGATATATTTGAATTGACGGTATTAGTTCGAATGTTAGAAATTCCTGAGATGGGTAAAAATTGAGAACCCAGTAATGTAATTTGTCCTAAAACAAAATAGATTATCAATGTAATCTGCCTAGTTCTCTAATTGTTAGAATTAGCAAGACTAAAATTAAAAAGTCTAAAAACGTAACTATAGTCCTTTAAAATTTAGAAATTAAGTAAACAAAATCCAAATTTAGCATATCCAAGTATATTAACAAAATAATAACTTAATAACACAAGTTTCTATTAACAAATTCTAAATATAGTTTGATAAAAAGTCAGATGATTTTACATATTTAGCTGAAACTTGGTGAAGTAATTTGAATGGCATCACATTACCAATATATTATGACGTCTTATTAGACGAAAATAAATAAAGGGGTGGAATAAAAATAGACAGACTAAAAAAGTTTGTAAGACTAAGATCCAGTCCAAAGAGAATCCTGTATACGTACGATCAAGGAAAAAAATAAAAGAAAGCAAGAAGAAATTTTGTTAACACTTGGAATTTGATGATGCAAAGAAATCCAAGTCAGTGGTCTTATTATGCGAAGCGAAGAGCTCTCCACTCGCAATCATAAGCTCTAAATTTCAAAATAAATAATAGAAAGTGGAAGAGGAAAAGGAAAAGGAAAAGGAAAAGGCACATGTTTACTTACTATATCACAACGCGGATACCAGGTTTGAAAATTCTTGGTCTACTCTCCAAGCTTGAACTTTGACTTTCCACTTCTCTCTCTATCTCAATCGACAAATCACAGCCGTAGGATCTAGAGAGAGAGAGAGAACCCCTTTTGGAAGTTAAATTCCAAGTGGACTTGGTCAGCTTTTGAACTTGGACTTCCACACTCAATGACCAAAGACCAGCAAATCTAGAGAGAGAAAGCAACTGGGTTGGTTGTTTGTCTCAGTCAAAGTTTCCCAACTTCTAACTGTTCAAAATATTTTTAAAATGAAACAAAAGTAGCCTTCCTTTTTGGAGTTCTTATAAAAACCCAAGACTGGTTCTTCTTCAACCCAAAGCTTACTCATTTCTCTTCCTATTTCTCTCTCTATCTCTCCTTCTTTTCTCTCTCTTTCTATTCAACTTTAGTTCTAATCAAAACACAAAACATACCCAGTTCACCAAATTACCTGTTTTGCTACTTCCATGTTCGTAGTCTCTGATTCTTCACCATTTGGGCCTTCTATTTCCTCCAGCTTCTGCTTCTTCTTAGATGGAAAGCTTCTGCTTCTTGACAAACCTATAAATCCAAACAGAAATGATCTCAACTCTTGTTCTTGTTCTTCCGAGCATGAATTACTAGAGTAGCACAGTTACAAAATTCATTTTATGAGATTAAGAGGGATTGGAAATGGAGAGTGGGTGGAGCTGGGATCAGAAGTCACTCATTGGTGAGCTAATTCAGGGTATGGAACTTACCAAGCAATTGAGAGCCGAGTTGAATTTGGAATCTGCAGCAGAAAGCAGGGGATCATTAGTACAGGGAATCTTATCTTCATATGAGAAAGCTCTTATCATACTGAAATGGAATGGAGCAATGAGTCAGCCTCAGATGGCAGAAGCAGCAGCTTCTGCTTTGCCAGGCTCTCCAATTTCTGTCAACGAAAGTCCTTCAAGTGATGACTCTGGTAGAGGCCTCAAGGACTCTCAGGAACCCACAAAGGAATCAAAGAAGAGGTGAATTTTGAATTTTCTTTACAACTTTTCAAAGTCAACATACTTGTTAAGACTGTAGAATGCTTCTACAGTCCTCGCCAACTTTTAAAAACTAAAAATCTCTTTAAAATTTTCAAAGTCAACTACTTTTCGTTTGTCAAAAATTTTTGAAGTGTTTGGTAAAGTAAAAAACCAAACAAAGAAAAAGTTAACAAGTAAGTTTAACTTTTAAAATCAAAAAACTAAATACGTTTATAATTTTGCGATTGCAGAAAGACACAGCCCAGATGGACAGAACAAGTGAAAGTTAACTCTGAGACGGGATTCGAAGGACCCTACGAGGATGGTTATAGCTGGAGAAAATATGGACAAAAGGACATTCTTGGAGCAACATATCCCAGGTGAGAACATCTCTTCCCCTTCCTGCTGGAAAAACATACAAATCATCCACTGAACATATATCCAAATAAATATCATTTCTTCAGTATTAAAAGAAAAACATGCTAGGGAAATTCAAAGGGGAGGGAGGATCTAAACTTTTGTTATTTTTGTAATGGATGAATGCAATATTCAATATGAAGGAAACCAGAAGAAAATTGAGTATAAGGAAATTGAAAGAAAAATATAGGAGGCAGAAATGTCAGCAACTCAAAATTCGATGTCAAGTCTACTGATTTTAATAAGCTAAGAAGGTAACTTGTAGGAGACAGATAAAAATAACATGAAACGAAATCAAATAAAACCATACAAAAATTACTTCGAAATTTTGAAGTAGAAACATATTCTGTATACATAATCATGATCTTATCAAAGAAAAGATTTCTTCTCTGTTCCACATCAGTGAGTCTAATACCTGGTTGTTTTATGCTTACAGAAGCTACTATAGATGCACTTTCCGTAATACTCAGAATTGTTGGGCAGTAAAGCAAGTACAAAGATCTGATGAAGACCCTTCTGTGTTTGAGATTACGTATCGAGGAAAGCACACTTGTTCCCAGGGGAACTATTTGGCCCAATCATTTCATTCACCAGAAAAGCAAGAAAAGAAGGAAAACGAGCACGATGATGACCATCATCAAAAGCAACCTTCGCAAGAGAACTTACTCGGTTATCAGACATTTGAGAATATCGGAAAGCTTGAAAACAAGGCATCTACCTTCTGCTTCGGTTCGACTTCAGGTGGATGCAAGAACATTGAAAATAGTGACTTTTCACGTTTAGCTATCGACACTCACGCCAGCTTGGGAAACTTTTCTCAATCATTTATCTCTCCAACCACACCAGACTCGAACTACTTTACGCCATCCCCATGCCAAAGGAGCCACGTAGGAGGGGCTCATAATGTGCATCAATCAGAATCTGATGTCCATGAGATTTTCTCGGCCAACACTTCAGCCACCAATTCCCCTATCCTAGATTGGGATTTTCCATTTGATGCAGAGCACATCAACCCGAATTTCCCATTTAATTCCCCCGGATTTTTCTACTAAACCACTTGGGCATAAAAATAAAATGGCACCCTGGCTAATAACAAATCCTTTAGCATATAGCTTCAATCATGCACAAAGACAGAGGAAAGGAAGGTTGTTTCTACCCAGATTTCATTTTCTCAAATGTTAGCAAAGCATGGTGATTAGTAATATAATTAGCAGGCTCATCTTTGGTTCTTTGATTAATTTTAATTCCAATTGATTGCATACAACATTAGACTAAGTAATTGCATACATAATTCATATGTCATGTTTGGAATTAGGAGGCTCTAGAACAATAATAGTAAATGAAAAATACATCCTTATAGTTTATCATGCATCTCCTAGAATCTAAAAAGTAATTATCAATATCCTTAGATCTGAGTCAGATGACATCTACATAAATATTATATCAAATATCATCACATCATCAAGAAAATGGAGGAAAAATGTGTGACGTGTTTTGTTCATCATCAAATCACATGGATGTATCACAAATTTACTAAATCACAAAGATGCATTTGGCAGATATTACTCTTCACCATACTTACTATTATGAGAATCTGAACTGCACAAGTTTGAGGTTGTCATCTTACTTAATATGAGATTGCAAAAAACTATCTTCAGTCTACTTGGAAAACGAAGGGAGCCAGGCAACAACACTAGAAGAACATCATGGATTAGATGCTGCACCAAACATTAGTTAAAGTAGCGTCATATAAAGCATACGCGAGTGGTGTTCACTTTTTGAAAATTGTGACCTCTTTTGAAGACCTTGGCACTTCGACCAAATACTCAAAGTGATCAGGAAAAAAGAAAATAAAGAACAGAAAACAGGCTCCAATTGTAAATGAGTTACTAACCAATGGTTCTGATTATTAGGAGCAAGCATGATTAAGGCGGAGCACCACAAGATCACTTGGCAATGACAAACAGGTAAAAGGGCGAAGCAGGAAAGAAAAAGCTCATCGGAGAAGAAAACTGAAGTAAAATTTTCAATTCCTTGCTAAAATGAAGGCCACTTTTTATGGTCTTTTAATCCAGAAGAGGTAAGAGCCTTCTTCGATCAATAGTGCAGAATGCTAGACAGGCGAGAAGCAGGTAGACACCGAATAATCAACCTATGTTGAACAAGTGCCATAATAAACCTTCACTTTTCAACGAAAGAATGAGAGACATGAAACTATGATTCGACAAATGTGATTGATAAGGATTTTGTTCTTTTTAGGATGAGAAACTATCGTTAGTAAAATGAAATATATAAACAAAGAGGGCGAGGAAAACCTCAACCCAAGCTAAAGAAGATACCAAAAATACTTCCAGTTAGCACAAATATGGAAATTTTAACGTTTCTACTCGGTGGAGACAGGTTACCAATATACCACTGCTACAACTGTAGGTACAATATAAAGAAATATTTAATAACTTGGATATATAACATAAACTCAATTGGAGCACGCATGCACATAAACAGACAATAGTTGGAGAAGTATGTTACTACATGGGCTACCCTTTCATGGTGATGAGAAAATTCAAAAATGAAAGAAGAGAGAGTTACATAAAAGACTAAACAACATCTAACTACGCTGTTCCAAGCAGATAATAGCTCATACAAAGACAGGAAAGGACCTCAGATTATAGCACAGAATAACCATTTTAAGCCAGAATCACTCACTCACAGGGCCACCAAACTAATGGAGAAATATTGAATTGTCAAACAGAATTTTCATAAACAAGTAGCTCAGAGGTATAAAAATGACATGAAGACCAATCACCAATATATCGTTTAGCCAAATTCTATTCATTAGTATTTCAAGTAGCCTCACAATAGTAGTTAGAAGAGTATCTGAGAGACTCACAGACTTCAAGGACAAAGAAGCAGCTTAGAATGTGAAGCATGCTTTTAGAAGAAGCTGGTGTCAAGTAAAATAAAGAAGCAAAAGCCTTGAAAGATGCGTTCTCTAAGTTAAAAGTGGGTGGGGTGCCCAGCCCGTCGATCAACTGCTGCTGATGCCCTTGAAGCAATCACAAGATTCCTTCTTCCAGATTAGCCTGTTCAGTGTTTGCTGATCTCTATGGTAAACTCACGTGGGTTCATAAGGAAACACTGAAGAAAATAGGAAAACCCAGACATGGTGAAGATGGGAGCTTCCTAAGACAGCCTACAGCCATCCTCTCGGATCAAAAGCTCATCTAACTAATTTGCCCCCAGATTTTAAGCCCAATACAAGCTCAGTTCTGCAAAGGCAATGGACAATTCTTATTCGACATCTTTAATGCTCAATGAATCTAGAAGGGGGAAGTTTCTTTGGACTGTCAGTAATTATTGAACCTTGTAAAGTTAATTTTCTATAATTTTATTTTGAATTTCTGCTTAAGAACAGTCCTCTTAAGGTGGATGAGAAACTCATACTCTCATTATTTTCCTTCAAATTCATCATCATCTCGTCTTAAAATTCACTTCCCTAGCAAAGTTATTCTTTCTTTTTATGTGCGTGTTAACCCTATACTTCTTGAGCAAAAGAAGTCTCAACTCAGCAAGAGCAATTTGGAGCAATAAAAGCTTCAATGACATTTGATCTTCTCAATTGGTCTCCAATTATATATCTCTAATCTTAGCACCCCACTCAACAAGACAAAATTATATTATTTGAAAATTTTTCCTGATAATAAATACAGGAAGTGGTTACATCATAGAGAAACAAAACGTTTGCAAGGTTAAGAAGTGGGCTCAAATGCAGCAAGTTGGTGCCAAACACCATTGAGGTTGGATTGCCATAACCGAACCATCCCGTCCTTTCCTGTTGATGCTAATGTCATACCACCCATGTCCCACTCCATCTCCCACACCTGACAGTGCAAGTGAAAACATGATCGTCAATTAACTACCCACCTCTTCCCTCCTATCTAAGGATAATCCAAACAGAACAAAAATCTAAAACATGCAGTTCATAGACCCATACCAATTACTAACTAAATCCTAGTCCTAGCAAAGTTTGCACTTTGCAGACAACTATATAAGGGGTCATCTGCATATTTATTTAATAAGATTCCATTGACATGGATTCAAATGAATCTTCTCGCTCTACACCAGGTGATTCACTTGTTTCAAATTCAGTCTTTGGATATTCAAGAAATAGATAAGAAAAGAAAGGGGAATGAGAGAACAGAACAAAATTTTGAAGACATACCTCGCCGTTATGCCCAGAAAGCAGAGCAACTCTTTCTGTTGAGAGCCTTCCATCCATGTCAGGATTGGATCCGAGGTGCCATATTGCAATACCTTTCTGGGTTGCAACAGCTATTACCTCATATGGCCTAAAATGCACCCCAACAACGATTAATACCATTATTATTTAAGCTTGAGAAAAAGAAGGTTACAAATTTTTTAAGGATTTTAAGTAAACATGTGAATGAGTTTGGTTATATCAAGACTCACGGGGGTGGCCCTTTCTAAAAGTAATCAGGTATTACCCCTGGAAGTTTGTAGAAACATGAAAGAAATTTAAGGACTACAAGATGATAAAAACCAGCAATAAAAGAGCTACCAGTTTCTAGACTACGAGTTGGCTGCAAAGAAAGAGTTAATCAAAATAGTCTATCAAACTTGTCATAATCAAATACAGATGCCTAGTAATCAAGGGATTTATTTGCTGAACCAATGAGTTTTAAAGTTTTAACATGGCACAGATACACCTATTGTATGCAATCCCTTTAGAAATTAGTTCGTTACCTTCCAATATTTTGTGCCCACGCAACAGCATAAACCTCATCGCCTTTGTCTGCAGGCAAAGCCAACTCTGCAACAGGAAGCCATCTTTGATGAGCCTGATCAAACTCCCAAACCTGTGGAGGACAAATACCATATTAACCGTGGCATGCAATTTTTAAAGCTAGTACGATCAAGTTAGACAGACCAATAAGCTGGGAGTAGCTGGCTGCATCAATTTTCATTGCAGTAACAGGACCAGAAGAACTTGGAATACCTTGGCAGAATTAAGCTGTGGAGTATTAGAATTTAAAGCCAAAACAAAGCTCGATTGTTGTCTTTCACCTCGATGTGGATTCCAAGATATACTTGCAGATAAGCAAGAAGCTTTCCTAACCGTAGAAATGGAATCAATAACATTCTGAAATTCAGCCTGAACGAAAGTAGAAATAGGAGTCAAAATGATTTAAAATGTCATTATTCACTCGGTAGTTTGAAGAAGATAAAGCATCTAATAGCTCTATAAAGTTAGAGCACCTGAGATTTAAAAGACCACCTTGGTCCTCAACCTCATTTAACACCGAACGAAAGAAACGATGRTGTTTATATATGCCTAAAACTCAGTAAATGGCGCTCATATAGGTTTCTAAATGAATATCACAAAACTAGCTAGGTATTCATGATGTGTTTATTTTTCAGATACTTCATAGTAAAGGACCAAGTTACACACTTCCTTTGAGATGAGATTATGCATGTGTGCGCACACACCACACTTTTTCCCCTTTTAATAGAGGTGAGGGAATGAAGAGATTTCCATATTCTCTAAGCACAATCTTCCAACAATGAAATACAAAGGATTGTACGTCAAAATTCAAGCAACCCATAAGACAGGAATAGTTCGAAAGACCATCGACTGCAGAGGGCTCTTACATAGTGGTAGAACTAAAACACAATGAATAGTGGACAGGTCACCAGTAAAGTACACAAATATCCATGTCCAATAATATAGTTACATGATTATGGAATTCTTGACAAAGAGGGACTTCTTTTTTTCCTTAGCTGAAACATGTATTTCATTGATAGCTCAAATATTACAAAAGAGGGGGAACCCAAGAGCCTAAAAATAGAGTTACAAAAAATTCATTCATTTGGCCAAAAGTATAGAAAGACTATGTTCAGATAAGGGATGCTTGCATTTACACTAATAAAGAGGCAAAAAGAGAACATAATTCAAAAAGGAGGAGAAAGATTCCTTGGAGTCGTTGAAAGTTGAAGTTTTTTTGTTCCTCCCTAGGGAGGAACATTAAAACATAGGAATATAGATGTTAACTCATCAGAAGGTTAAAAAGATAGAGAATTGAATTTTTATTTTTATTTTTTTGATAGGATAGAGAATTGAATTTAAGGAAAAGAAAAAGTCTGTTTCCTTTATTATAAAATGAGAAATTCAATTGATTGAAGTTTGACCAATGTGAAAAAGAATTAGCATATTTTTTTATACAAATTACAAGGTAACGCAGCAATAAGTTATTCAAATATAACTTCCGCAGCCTAATAAAAAAAAAAAAAAAAAAATTAGCCCCAAGGGGTAGTCCAGTATGCAAGAGCTTGAATCGCTTCGTCATACCGACTTAGAGATCTCATGTTCAAACGTTCCAGTGAGTTTAATACCAGAAACCCTTGATATCTCTTGAGTCCGGGCCTTGGAGTGAGCGTGGGTGCTCCTGGGTACAGGGGAGTAAAGCTCCGACTCCCAATTATAAATTAAAAAAATAATAATAATAAAAATAAATAATAAAAAAAGAAAGATAAACGATAAA